CTAAATTTTTTTTGTGAACTTTATGACTATCTACTCAAGTTTTCTGTCATGTTTTCGATATGAATGTGCATCCGATGAATTCAGGATTAATAAGGAAGGCAGAGCTGCAGGAGTGCTGGAGAACTATGCAGAAGGAGAGAAATACGCAGAACATAGTCTCCGAAGGTTTGTTCGGAACAGAAACCCTGAAATCATGCCAGCAATTAACAATTTCTTTACTAATCCGAGCAAATAAAGCATTCCATAGCAGAGCAGCTCAGCATGATGGATCTCAAGTTGGCATTCGATATACTATGGTTGAAGACCATGGTTTAATATTATTCAATGCTTCAGTGAGATGGAACTGAATTCTGTGTGTGCAGTATGTACATTTAAGATGCTGAATGTGTCTGGTTGTTGTGTTATAATGTTCAATAACCTGTGATGACCTTTTCGCCTCTATATTGAATCACATTATTAGTATAATGCATTGAAATCATATTTACTTTAACACATTTCGTTTAGAAAGGTGGGAAGAAGTTACAGAAGTTTCTTAGATACACTTTGGCTTCCAAGATGGTAAGTAGCTTAATCTATTTTCAATTATGGTACTAATATTTTAATTTTTTGTTCAATGATATTTTACTATCATGTATGTTCATTGTGCAGGTTATGCCATTTGATTTGCGACCATGCCACCGATCTGCTTTTGTAATGGACTTCATGGATATTCTGTGTGGGTCATTTTTATCTCATGTAAGTCTAAATATCGGTATTCTTGAGGTTTCTGTATAGGTTACAAATATTGCTTTTGAAGATTATGATGCTGGAAACAGCCATTGTTGAGCAGCATGCATCACGAAGTTGGAGCATTGACATGTTTGTTGGGCATTTCATTGCATAATCTTACATATAATTCCATCATTTTCTTAATTTCCTTGAGATAAATTAAAAATATTTTTGTCTCCAGGTTTTTGTTGTATGCTTTTTTACCATTCTCTTTGACAACTTACATAGTTTTTAAAGTCTTGTTAACTTCTATAACTCCTCTACTACAATTGTCTCCCATATTTTCTCCACCTCTCAAATTTCTTCTACTAGAATGGCCTCTCATTTTCTTCATTTTTATCTGTAAACTTATACAATTGCTCTTAAGTACTTCACTTTGTTTGTTTCTATTTAAGCATAAATGTAAGGTTAACATACTCATCTAAGTTATCTTGTTTGTCTTGACTACTAGAATCTCTCCCCATAGACGCAGTTGAGGATGTTCAACATCAGATTGTGCTTGTGCAATTGGTGCAACATTACTAATATCTAAAAAAACCAAGGTACCAAGATGTTCCCCGTGATGTTTATTGAATATTTAATTTTTTAAAAAAATATTATTTATTTTATAAATATAATCATTAAAATAAAAATGACACATCAAATTGTATCAATTTATATTGTCTAAATTTAATAGCAAAAATGACAATCCAAAACACTGAGTTAATGACAAATCCAACCTTTACAAAATTCATAGATTATATTAATAAAGAAATAAACGTAGGAGGACGGTGGAGAGGAGGCTATGGTTTGTTTTGGGGGGGGTGGGGGTGGGGAGGGGGGTGTGGTGGGGGGAGGGGAGGGATTGGTTGGCTGGGGAAGAGGGAAGAGGAAGGAGAGAGGGTAGGTCTCTATCGGGCTCCGAGGGAGCTCAATGTGTTATGCGAGGAGAGGATGAGGGTTTGTCGTGGTAAGGTAGGGGGAGATGCAACACCCAAGGAGGGCGAGGGAGTGGAAGAAGAGAGATTCTGAAGAAGAGCTCATCAAAGATTGCACTGATTTTTTTCTTTCTTTCACCCAGAGAGAAAGATGTCGCCTCAATGATTAGATTTGGGAGGAGATGCTAATCTGGTTCGATCGAACTAGAATCAATAAATAAAATTGAATTAGATTCAACCTAATCCCATTGTCGGCTCAAGCACGTGCCTGAGCGACACTCTTTATTGAATGAGCTTGCTTGGACACCTTAATAGGTGCTCGGGCCACACCTCGTGCCGAGGCAAGTGCCTGATGATTTCAATGCATTATACTAATAATGTGATTCAATATAGGGGTAAAAAGCCCATCACAGGTTATTGGACATTATTAAGCAACAATCCAGACACATTCAGCTGCACACACAGAATTCAGAATTCAGTTCCATCTGCACATACTGCACACACATTCAGCATCTTAAATGTACATACTGCTCAGCTATGGAATGCTTTATTTGCTCGGATTAGTAAAGAAACTGTTAATTGCTGGCATGATTTCAGGGTTTCTGTTCCGAACAAACCTTCGGAGACTATGCTCTGCGTATTTCTCTCCTTCTGCATAGTTCTCCAGCACTCCTGCGGCTCTGCCTTCCTTATTAATCCTGAATTCATCGGATGCACATTCATGACAGAAAACTTGAGTAGATAGTCATAAAGTTCACAAACAAAATGTTGCATCCCAATTTAG